GTGTGTGTGTGTGTGTGTGTGTCGTGTGTGTGTGTGTGTGTGTGTGTGTGTGTGTGTGTGTGTGTGTGTGTGGTTCCTGTCCACATCGTCTTTCTCTTCTACTTGTGCTGACATGTTCTTCCATGGCAACAAACACCTGTCTGCGCCCATTGCCGCCGCTTGTCCTGGGATCACAGGGTGACAGCGTGACCATCTCCACCATTACCGAGCAGGCCGACAACCTTCGACAGGTGCGCCCGTCTTGGTAACCGCATTTGTCATGCGAATGTGTTCTTGTTGTGCTTTCAACTGTGCCTGTGCCTCCTCCTTTGTTCACGCACACACACTCACACACACACACACACACTCACACACAACCAATTAACGAATGCGTTGCACGTGCCAGATGGTGGCTGAGGAGATTGAGAACATGAAGTTGGATGTTGAGTTTCTGCGTCAGTGCATTGACGGCGAGCACGAGTACAGGTGAGGCGATGCCATCAGCTGCTCCTACTCGTTGAGTCTTGTGCCCGGGGTGTGTTTTGCCGTGCTTTTGTTGTTGGCGGTGTCATGCACATTCTCAAACGTTCACACGTTCACACGTTCACGCGCGCACACACACACACACACACACACACACACACACACACACCCACGTCCACACACACACACACCACGTCCACACACACACACACACACACACACACACACACACACGTCCACACGTTCACACACACAATATACATGCACGTACGGCAGGTCACAGCTGCTCAGCCGCCGCCAGCAGGAGAGCGAAACGGTGACGCTGAGTGAACTTCGCGATGCACGTGCTGCCCTCGAGCGCGAATATCTGCAGCAGGCGGCAAGCCGGACCGCAAATCCTGCGGACACACACACGATGGCTAGCAAACCGCCCCCGCTCAAAGCCAAGCGAGATCTGCCTGTGAGTCACAGCAAAAATTGCAGCATGCGTGTGTTTCTTTTGGTGTGCGTACGTGTACGTGTGCGACCGTGTGTTTCAGCGTGTTAGCGCGTAATCGCACTCATTTTCTTTGTTCAAGTTGTTCTGATTTCTTGCTTGTTCTTCCTTCCTTCCTCCTCCTCACCACCCAATTCACCACCACCACCACCATGACCACCACCACCATGACCACCATGACCAACACCATGACCACCATGACCACCACCACCATGACCACCACCACCGTGCCCAGGCTGTGCGCCGTCCGCCCACGACTGCTGGGCAGCGGCGGCTACCGCGACCAACAACCGCATCCTTACACACGGCGGCACACGCGCAGCGCACAATACCGCCCCTCCCCTTCCCACACCACCACGGATCGCAACACCACCAACAACAACAACTGCAACAACAACATCAGCAGCAACAACAACAACTACGGTTGCAAAGAGGTGACCCCACCAGCACCAGCACCAGCACCAGCACCATTAGCAGTGCCAGTGCGCGCGCGAATGGTGCTCGCCGCGCACCTCAACCGCCACCACCGCCAGTCGATGCGAAGCGGAACGCAAGCGGCGTTGCCTCATCTCCTGAACGCCAAAGACCAAGGCTCGGTGCGTGCTTGGCTTGGGTTTGTCATGCGTTGCTTTGATGTTTGCTTGGTTTGGTACGTTTAGCTTCATTTGCAATGTGTCGCTTCGCTTGGGGGTTGTGTGCGTGCCAGAACTGTGTGTCGCATTTCCTCATCGTTACGCCATCATCGTTACGCCACCCATCACCACCCATCAGCATCTGCGAGCGCATCTGCCCGCGCCCGCCGTCTGCTCAAGTCAGACTCCGCCAACCGTCAGCTCCCAATGCCACCACAACCCCCATCATCATCGTCATCATCATCACAGCACCATAGGAGACGGCAGCCATGCCCACCTCCCGCCGCACACACCAAGTGACGGATTGCTTTGTGTGTTTTGTATCAACAACGACAACAACGTCGAATTGCTTGCAGGCATGCAAGCAGGGTCTACTGTTGTTGTGCCTTGGCGTGAATCTTCACCATCGCACCATCACACCCATTAGCATGCCGCAGAGTACCTGTGCTTGCTGAGCTGTTGTACATATGATGTGCTCGACTTTGGTCGGTATTCTACCTTGTATTGTATGTATTTGGGCACCTCGGCCAACCAACAATAATGCGCAGCAGACATGTCCCTTCGCCTCACAGTTTGCCTCTCGTGCTCAGTAGAAACCGCAGTCTGCAATTTCCTTTCGCCCGCGGATCGAGAGGCCCGAGCGCGTGTTGCACTGCGCATTCACCCCCGTCGACACAATGTAGTGGAACCAGTAGCTGTGTGGAGCAAGAAGGAAGGCGGGGAGGGGGGGGGTGGAGGTGGTGAGGACCGTGGTGTTGAGAATGAAAGGAATTCAAGGGAAGAAAGGGCAAGTGGAATTGGCAACAGACAGACAGACAGACTCACAGACACAACAAAACAAACATACCTTGGGATGTAGAGGACGTCGCCGGCGCGAAGAACGACTTGCGCCGCCCTGAAGCGCAAACACACACACACACATGGTGTGAAGATGAACACAAGGGGGTGTATGTGTGGGTGAGTGACAAAGCGATAGAGTGCGTGCAGCGAGAGGAAGAGAGAGGGTGCGTGTTGTGTTGTATGTTCATTGTGAGGCAAGAAGCACACTAAACAGGCAGAGAGACAGACGGATGGACAGATGGACAGATACATGGATGTGCGTACATTGCGTTCTTCATCTTTGGGAATTCGTTGAGATCGAGGTCACTCCAGTCCGCCTTGGCGTGGCGCGCTGACGTGACGTGGTGGCACAGAGGGCGTGGTATGAGGTGGGGTGGCGACCACATGATTGGTGGAGCACATGGGTGCATGTGCACACACAGATGGAGACGAACGAACGAACGAACGAACGAACGAACGAACGAACGGACAGCCACACAAAACACACACACACACACACACACACACAGGCACACAGACACACGACACACAGACACAGACACACACATCAACCTCCTCACCCTCTGGGTGGCCGCGCGGGTAGAGGTAGAGGTTTGGGCACTCCTCGGGCGGGAGGAGGATGTAGCGCTTTGCACCGCGAAGAATCGTGACAAAGTTGCGGCCGCCGTCGTAGTGCGCCTCGGCAATGATCCCGCGTGCACCGAACCGGCAGTTGATGCCCTGGAACATCGTGAGCATGCAGCAGTAGCGGTGATGAGGATGATGATGATGATGATGATGATGATGATGATGATGATGATGATGATGATGATGATGATGATGATGATGATGATGATGATGATGATGATGATGATGATGATGATGATGATGATGATGATGATGATGATGATGACGATGACGATGATGATGACGATGATGTGTGTGTGTGGGGGGGGGGAAGGGGAAGGAAGAGTAAGGTCATGAGTCAACCATCATCATCAGGAACAGCGATAAATTGTGACAGTAACTGTGCTCGATGCATTGATGGTGCACCATCAATAGGATGCTCATACTCACCCTGTTCTGCGAAGGGTCGACGAGGAAGAAGTTGTGCTGTGGAACCCATTCAGGGAAATCCTCACGAATCCACCTGGTGTTGTCGACACGGCGCCGTGCGGAGAGAAAAACAAGCGCGCGTTATTGAAGGTCAAGCGCCATTTTCAGACAGAGACCATAGACAGACCCACAGACCCACACACACGCACACACACACAGAGCGCTGGACTGACGAGTTTGGGCCGACGGAATTGAGCTGGAGATAGTAGTGGTCGTCGTTGAGGGAGGCCTTGTCTGTCTCGTACGCCTTCTGCAGCCATTGTTTGAACGTCATCGTCGCACTTGACGTGGGCGGCCTGCAGCAAAGCACACGCGCGCATGTACAGAGAGAGAGAGGGAGGGAGGGACACACACACACACACACACACACACACACACACACAGGGACGGAGACAGACAGACACAAGGCATAGGCATTCGGGTTGTGAGTATCGTGAGGAGTGTCGGTACGGTAAGCACACCCATTCATGAGGTGGTTGAGCACGCGCGTATTCATGCCACGCACTTGTAGTTTTTCTGCTGCTTTGCGCCCCTGCGGTTGTAGTACTGAGAGGCAATGAGAAGGCAGTGCACATGGAATGAGGAACCAGCGAGGATGGGGTTCTAGTGAGCGCACGCAAGTGTGATTCCCAAGCACACATACACACATACACATACACATATACGCACACACCGCACACATGCAAGAACGCACCATAAAGTGGTTGCTGGTTGACTTGGTGACGCTGTGCTTTGTGTTTCCAAAGCGCTTGATGAGGTATTCGTCACTGCCCCACTTCTCTGCAACGTCGTTGATCATCGGCACGTTGTGCAGCACAAACGGAACCTGGACAACACCAAAATGCGAACAACGAAGAAACACGTGTGAGTTCTCACGTCACATCTTGTGCGTGCGTGTATGTGTGTATGTGTGTATGTGAGTATGTGTGCACATGTATGTACGTGTGCATGTGATAACCTCGTGCCAGCGAAGATACTCTGCTCGCTTGCGCTGCGTCTCGTTCTGGTAATCAAAGCGCTCCAGCGTGCCGTGCTCAATCCCGGGGATATCCGGGACATCAGGCTGCACACATGCACACACACAGGCACACAGAGGTTTATATGAGATGCGTGCCATGCGTACGTGCCATTCGTCATGTGTGTGCGTGTGTGCATGTGTGCGTGTGTGCGTGTGTGTATTTGAGAGCGACGCGAGTGGGGTATGCAACATCTACACGCGTGACGCAAGCCAAGGCAGCAGCAGCAGCAATACGACAATAACAACGGCACCTCATCTGGGGGCCATTCGTTGAGGAACGTGGGCAGCGGTTTCAGCGGCGGATACGGCTCGTAGCGCTGCGCGCGCGCGTGTGTTGTGTGTGTGTTGTGTGTGTGTGTTGTGTGTGTGTGCGTGTGTGTGTGTTGTACGTATGTGAGACTGGGTTTAGACACGCGCTTGTGAGGAAAAGGGGTGGGTGGAACAGTTGACAAAAGCACACCCGTCCATCGCAGCAACGTGTAAGTTCCCATCACCATCATCACCACCATCGCCACCACCTTGATCAGTGCCTCGTCCGGGTAGTATGGCTCGCCGTCAAACGAGTTCTTGTTGCGCTGCGCCAGCTGTGCCATGTAGCGGCGGTCACTCGGGTACGGGTGCTGGTTCAGCAGTCGCGAGAACGTGTTCTCAATGCCGCCGCCGTTGGCACCACCCTGCTTCATGTCAATCTGAATCTCACCAAATCCCTCCACGGGCTTGCGTTCAGGGAGGACGCGTGGCTGACGGGAGGCGACGAAGGAGGGGAGAGGGGGCGGCGGGATAGGGCATTTCCACGGCAGGTGAGATTGACTGGAAAACGAAGCTTGGTTTCACGCCGACACACACACAGACACACATACACACACACACACACACACACACACACACACACACACACACACACACACACACACACACAGACAGACACACGCACACACCTCCAACCGAACGAAACAAGACAATTCCTCCGCCCCTTCACTGACCGTGACGTCGACCTGGTCCATGTACTTGTGGTAGTGGCCCTCAAGCTCCGTGTACAGCGGGCGGAGGGTCGACTCGGCGAATGTGCGCAGCTGCTCGCTCGCACGGTCCTGCTTTGTCTTTGAATCGTCGGAAAACTTCTTCACACCAGCCCGGCCCTGATGGTGGTGGTGGCGGTGGTTGTGGCGGTGTTGAAGATGACGATGATGATCGCAGCGAAACTGTCAGCATCTTTGGACAGCGAAACCATTCACAAACAAACAAACAAACAAACAAACAAACAAACAAACAAACAAACAAACAAACAAAAAAAAACAAACAAACGAACGAACAAAAAAAAAACAAACGAACGAACAAAAAACAAACAAACAAACAAACAAACAAACAAACAAACAAACAAACAAACAAACAAACAAACAAACGAACGAACAAGCAAGCAAGCAGTTAAACAAGCAGACACAACAAAACAAGCACAAAGGTCTGTCGGCGCACCTTTGAGTACTCCTGGGCAACGTTGACCATGTTGCGCTTGACGGAGGGCGTTGGGGTGTAGCCAAAGTGGACGGGGAACACGCGGGTGTAGAGCACGTCGGGCAGGTCGTGGTAGTTGACGGCAATCCCGTTGGGCGACTGGTGGCGCGACGACGCAGACGGAGATGAAAAGAGGGAGGAGGGGTTGAGTGGTGGTTGAGGGAGAGCAATGAAGGCGAGGGGGACAACAAAGAGATAAGGAGACAGGGTCTTGGAAAGTACACGGACACACAGGCAAACAGCTCTTGCACAAAGATGCAACAGCAGGTATGTCAGTGTGATAGTGTGCTAGCTCGCGTGCACACATGCACAAGACACGTACGCGTACACTTGGCGATTACCGAGTCGAGCGCGTGCAGGGCGCTGTCACAGAGCGTTGCGAGATGCGCAGCACAAAACTGTTGTGGCAGGTGAGGAGGAAGGAGGAGAGGGCTGGGCGGTCAAATTGGGGAAGTTGGGTGGCACGCTACGATACACAAACCACTCAGACATCCAGCCAGACTCAGCCAGCCAGACACACACATACACACACACACACACGCACACACACAACAACAACACACAACACACACATTCACAAACACACACACACGCACACATTCACACACACACACACACACAACACACACATTCACAAACATCGTTATCGCACCTCCTCGTCGCTCGGGTTCTTGCTGCGGATGTAGCGGCGGTGCAGTGGTGTTGGGCTGTTCTTCGCCCGGAGGCACGGCACCTTGGCACTGCACCACAAGGCCGCGGCAGCAGCGATGGAAGTTGGAGGAGGGAGGGGGAGAGGGGTTGCAAGAGGTAAGGCGTGCAGTGTGGCAGAGTTGCATGAGTGAGCGAGATATGTGTGGTGTTGCTGCCGTGAGCGGACTCGAAACAATACATGAACTGGCACAACGGTGGCAGGTTGACACTGTTGGGCCAAAACCGAGCACACTGTACGGCATTGTTGCTGAACTGAACTCACCCTGCCGGCACCTTCTGCTTGAAGTGCGAGGCCATCACCTCCACGGGGTCGCGGTACACAAACATCCACGGCACCTCGGGGAATGCCTGCAGGCAACACCAAGAACAAAAAAAAGGGATGGTGTGTGTTGGTGAGGTTACACGTGTACGTGCGTGTGGTATCGGGAAGACAAGCGAGCAAGGGCGACGCACGCACTGCTGCGCTTACAAACAGACACGTAGACACACAGAAACACACACACACACAAACACAGACAGACACACAGACACACAGACAGACAGACAGACACACACACACAGAAACACAGAAACACACACAGAAGCACACACAGAAACACAGACACACACATACACACACACCACAGCACCTCTGTGTAGAGCGGGATTGCGTTGGCATTGACGGACTGGAACTTGAAGAAGAGGCGCTTGTGGCGCACCGAGTTGGACATGGCGCGCAGCAAAACACGCATCATCTCGGCCTGCAAAGCACGCGGCACCGTGATGACAGGTGATGACGGGGGGGGGAGGGCAACGGAGGTGAGGTTGGTGAGCACACGCATATGTCATATGTGCGTCAATTGGAAAGGCAAACGATGGCCAGACAGAAAACACTCAGTGCACAGACAACACGCACCACAGACACAACGCTCTGCTACTCTTTTCAAACGCACAGACAGACAGACAGACAGACAGACAGCCATACAAACAGACAGACAGACAGACAGACAGACAGACACACACACACACACATTGCGGCGCACCTTCTCTGGGAGCGGGGCGGGACAGTGAAGGGCGATGGCGGGAGGGGGCGCCGACTCCGAGAAGACTAGGTTGTCTGGATCGGCCGCCAAGATGTTGGCAATCAGCGTCGAGCCGACGCGGGACTCGTGGAACACAAACCCGGCTGGGTCCAGCGTCTCGGGAATGCCGAAGCGAAGATCGTTGAGGGTTACCGTCATGGTGTTGCCCTTGCAATTGGACACACGCAGCAGGTCCTTGAACATCGGGTACTTGTATGGCTCTGCCGTGTACGCTTCGATGTTGAGGCGGCACAGCTCCACCTTGGTCTTCATGCCCTGGCACCTGCCCACAGAGATGGGGAAGTAGCCGTCCGGGATGCGGGTGACGCTTCTCTTTGATTTCTTGGACGAGAACAGATGGCGATCCACGTGGCCGTGTGCTGCTGGCGCCTGCAGCTCCTGCATATCCTTCCGGTATGAGGTGTGCAGGTGGATCGTGTACAGCAGCAGGCCGACGATGGCCGTTGCCATCAGCACCTGTTGTTCAAGCACAGGGTTGTTGTTGTTGTTGTTGTTGTTGTTGTTGTTGTTGTTGTTGTTGTTGTTGTTGTTGTTTGTTGTTGTTGTTGTGTTCAGGCAAAGCGCAACGTGTGAGCTTAAAGGCATGGCAGCGAGAGGGCAATCGAGGAGAGCAAGATGGAAAGGGCGAAAGGCCGATGCCGTCGATTGGATCCATAACCGCTTGAGCAGAGCCAAAAACAAACAAAATCAACACCCATGCATGTATGTTGTGACAACATATTATGGATGGCTGGCGTTGCCAACAAACGGCACCAACCAGACCAACCAACCACTCACAACAACCAACCAACCGCCCGAAGCCTCGGTTCCATTTCTTCCACAACGAAACGCCACAACGCTACAACAACACATAAATGCACGACGACAGCCAGCCAGCCAGCCATCGACAGTTGTCACAGCACGAGCACGAGCACGAGCACGAGAGCGCAGCACGCACCGGCACGGTCGATCCCGACTTGAACAGCCGCATCGTGTGCTGCTGACGCTGGTTGTGGTGGGCGGTGTTGTTGTGTGGATGATGACGAAAGCCGCACTCGCTTTGGCGTAAAGTTGTGCACTTGCATGCGTTGCAAATTGTAGGGTTGGTTCTGGTGCAATTTGCAAAATACTGTCCTTCTTTTGTGTGTGTTTTGGCGCTGAAGAAGCACGACACACACACACACACGCACACACACACACACACACACACACACACACACACACACACACACACACACACACACACACACACACACACACACACACACACACACACACACACACAGCATACACACACACACCCACACACAACATCGGCATGGGGGTTGTGACGACGCTGGTGGACCAGGTGGTGCAGACACAGCCGTTGGTCATAGCTGTGTTGGTGCTGCTTGGCTTCCTGCTGCGAGAAGTGGTGGCGCGCTTCCTTGGCACAGCAGGTAAGTACGCCGTGCATGTGAACGTGGCATGCAACTGTCTTTGCTTCGTGCTTCTTGCCATGTCTTGTTGCACCGGTCGTTGCGCACGCTCACACATGCAACGCGTATGATGATGACGATGATGATGATGATGATGATGACATGATGGTGATGGTGATGATGATGCTGCTGCTGCGTATGATGATGATGCGATTGCACTGTGAAGCTGCAGCACCCGCCAAGAAGAAGCAGAGTGCCAAAACTGACACGTTTGAGTCGTGTGCCCCGGATGAGGACAATGACCCCGAGCACGCTCCCGGTCAGTTTGCATGTGCGCGCTCGCGCGTGTGTGTATCAGGGCTTTTGTTTATGTTTCATCCAAGTCTTCTTGCTGACTCACTGAAGATGACAATGGCTTCATCTGGGAACAGGTCCCAGCAAGGAGGAAGAGGAGGCCGAGATGGTGCCGTTGTCGTTCACGCGTTACTCTCCCAGTGAAATGCAACAGAGGTGATCGGGACAACCTGCTGACGGGAAATGGTGGTGGTGGTGGTGGTCGTGGAGGGAAGAAGTTGTCAATGGGACTGTTTCCAGTCTGCAGCACGAAGAGCGGCGTCACATAATTGTTGTTGGTGTTGCGTGAGTGTATGTGTGTATGTGTGTGTGTATGTGTGTGTGTGTGTGTCTCTCTCTCTCTTTCCGTGTCCCTCCCCATCTCTCTCCCTCTCTGCAGCGCGTCTGCCTCACATCCACCTTGTCTCCATAACTCACCAGGGCTGCCGAGTTTTATGAGTTGATGAACAAGCGGCGCACTGTCCGCCACTTTTCCAGCGACCCAATCCCAGAGGGCGTGCTGGAAAGCATCATCCACGTAAGCGTCGTTGTCCTGCTTGCGCTGGTTTTGTTGTCTCCTGAGCAGCCTGATGGACATCTGTGTGTTGAGTGATAAGTGACACGAACATGATGAGGCTTGATGTAGGTCCAACCGTTTCCTTTTTCACAAATGAGCACACATTGACACGTGCGTGCGTGCATATGCATGTGCATGTGTGTGTGGTGTGCGTGTGCGTGTGTGCATATGTATACACGTGTGCATACATGTGTGTGTTTGTGTGTTTGTGTGTGTGCATACGTGTGTGCGTTTGTACATTGCGTGCATACCTGTGTGTGCAGTGTGCCGGTACGGCGCCGTCTGGTGCGCATACGCAGCCGTGGCAGTTTGTTGTCGTACGCGATGCAAAGTACAAGCAGCAGCTTCGCGCTCTGATCGAGGTTCGTGTCCAGCACCGCAGCCATGAGGCATTACTGTTTCCTGCGCACACTTCTTGCATCCACCCCATTCACACATCCGAAAGCGGAGTGCAGCATTGCGTATTGCGCGTCACACGACAACGCATACAACGTGCCGGCACCAACCTGCTCCAATCACGCATGTGTGCTGTGTGTGTGTGTGTGTTCTGCGTGCGTGTGCGTGTGTGGGTTCTGTGGTGTGTGTGTGTGTGTGCGCTGCGGTATGACATGTGGTGTGTTCTGCGTGTGTTCTGCGTGTATGTGCGTGTGTATGTGCGTGTGTGTGTGTGTGCAGGAAGAGGAGGAGATCAACTACCGCCGGCGGATGGGCGATCAGTGGGTCGAGGACCTGTCACCGCTCCAGACAGACTGGCGCAAGCCATACATCGAGACAGGTGCAGTGTTGATGACGATGCTGATGATGCTGGGGAGGTGGTGGTGGTGGTGATTGTTGGTGGGTGACTTGAATGTGTGTTGTTGCATGGGCGTGGTGGTTTTGTGATGGGGTGTCTGTACTTCGCTTGCTTTCACATACACACATACACACATGCACACATGCACACATACACACACACACATACACACACATACACGCATACACATCCACACAATGCATGTATGCATGTGCAGCGCCTGCGAGCGTGATTGTGCTGCGGTCGCCGTACAGCTTCGACGAAGACGGCAACAAGCGCATCCACTACTACCACGAGCTCAGCACTGGCATTGCGTGTGGCCTGCTTGGTAATGTAACGTTTGTGAGGGGTCGAAGGTGGTTGAACAGGGGTATGATGTTGGTGGAATCCGTGGTGTGTCGTCGTTGCGCATAGGACGAGTGGAGCGTTGATCGGTTACGGCGCTGAGCATCTTGTGTAATCATTCACACCATGACACACACACACACAGACAGACACACAGACAGACACACACACACACACACACACACACACACACAGACAGACAGACCGACACACACACACACATATACACACACACACACACACACACACACACAGACAGACACACACAC